TAATAAAGGTTTAAACGGACTCCTATACAAAGTTCTACATATATATTTATAATGACTTCTTGATACAATCGCGTCGTTTGCATTTACACAGAAGGAAAACTTTTTTCTTGCTAGTAAAATAAAGAAAAGGATATAAAATAAAGTTCGTACTGAATTCGTCTGGTCTTTAGTCTGACGAAGATTTGTACGGCAAATGTGTTACATGTATCTTCAAAATTGGCCGTACAAAATTTAAACAAAAATTCTACAAAAATAAGTCATAAAATAAATAAATGTTAAAAAAGACGCCGGTAAAAGTAGTTTTTGTTATATAAATTCCATTTCGTTGGGGGGGGGGGGGGGGGGCGGTAGACTTTTCTGGAAGAAACTCTGAGCAAGAGTACACCCCCCTCTTCTCTCTCCCCCCCCCCTCCAAAAAAAAGTGCTTCCCCGCACTAAAGAAATATAATTTTTTATAGAGAATATATACTTTTTACACCCCCCCCCCCCCGCACCCGCGGAGAACAAAAATCTGAAAGAAAACTGTTTTTACATCAAACACAGTGAAGAGAAGCTTCCAGTTGTTTTATGAAAGGTTTACAAAATCTGTAGGATATTCGTTATTTGCTTTTTTATTTTATTTTTTACTGAACTGCTGAACAAATAGGTTTATAGTAGGTTTACACTACATTTCCCCCAGCAGATGGCAATAACAGATCCATAGATCACGAAGAAATTAAAGTGTGTGGTAGTCCCGTAACACACAGAGCTTTGACAGTTTGTTGTATTATTTTTAAATGACCCCACTAATATACCGGCGGCATGTACTATTTGTTCACCCAATAAATCAATAAAAACGTGTGTTGACTGCGGCTATACCTAAACATTTATACTAAGAAAAATGGGTTGAAGAATATAGACGTTTATATAAAATACTTGAAATAAAATTAGTGTTAATGTGGTGTAGGAGGGGGGTCAATTGTCTTCAAACTCTGGGATACTATGGGATATTATGGGATGTTTCATGTTGCATGATGGGATGGGAGAGCTTGTTAGCTGGGGACAGCAGCCCATCTTTCAGCAAACCGAAGTTGTTACCAAAGTAGTGCTAAACCTAACCTAGCCTGCCCTACCCTACCTTACCCTGGCTTAACCTAACCTAACCTATGCTAAGCTAAGCTAAGCCAAGCTAAGCCAAGCTAAGCTAAGCTAAGCTAAGCTAAGCTAAGCTAAGCTAAGCTAAGCTAAGCTAAGCTAAGCCAAGCTAAGCCAAGCCAAGCCAAGCCAAGCTAAGCCAAGCCAAGCCAAGCTAAGCTAAGCTAAGCTAAGCCAAGCTAAGCTAAGCTAAGCTAAGCTAAGCTAAGCTAAGCTAAGCTAAGCTAAGCTAAGCTAAGCTAAGCTAAGCTAAGCTAAGCTAAGCTAAGCTAAGCTAAGCTAAGCTAAGCTAAGCTAGGCTAAGCTAAGCTAAGCTAAGCTAAGCTAGGCTAAGCTAAGCTAAGCTAAGCTAGGCTAAGCTAAGCTAAGCTAGGCTAAGCTAAGCTAGGCTAAGCTAAGCTAAGCTAAGCTAAGCTAAGCTAAGCTAAGCTAAGCTAACCTAACCTAAGCTAACCTAACCATATGTACTGTAATGACCAAAGGACCCCCTGCCATCTTTTCATGAGCCAGGCCGTGTTAACAAAAATATTCCACCAGCTGTGTAATCATCAGACTTCATGCTTGCCTGCCTGGTTGTGTTATCGATAAAATCCCAAAAAATCAATCACCTGCCGACAGACATAAACTACTTCAGCATCATCACTTTCATAATTTTTTTTTTTAAAAAAGCTGGCTACACACTATTTTGCCTAACGAATATCTTGTTAATTACGCCGTCAATTGTATGTTTAACTTGTGCACAACTCATTTACCTAATAATAAGGGGCAACAAATCGATGGTACAGTCATACTAATGGACACCTTATCTCGCCACACAGGTTTAAAGTGATAAATGGAATTCTCCCCTCCCCCCCCCACCCCCATCGTCCTACCCAATTTAACCCAGACCCGTCATAATTTGACTCCCGCTCTTTAATATGAACTTTCTAAGCTCAAGCTTAAATAATAGTTGTTTTAATATAAACGTGTATATATATATATATATATATATATATATATATATATATATATATATATATATATATATATATATAAATATATATATATATATATATATATATATATATATATATAATTGGCAAGTAAAAAATAAACATCTGTTTAGTTTTTAATACACCCGTTCTAAGAACTGACATTGTTAGTTGTTACATTTTAGATCTGACATGTGCTGGTTAAAGGCAACAATTTTTTCCCTTACAAGTGTGAAAAAAAGGCCACACCCATATCCATAGTGCATCCCATTGAATTCGGCCGAAAACGTTACATAAACGTACATTTGCCGCGCCTAAATAAACAGAGTTCAAGCTAATGATATGCCCACCCATTCGCCACTTATATAAACAAAACGAGTAGAGGCTAATGCTATGCCTATACTTTTAACACTTACAACAAAAAAAAAAAAACGAACTAGAAAAGAAACACATTTAAGTTTTTCCCCCTGTTGCTATTTTTGTATCATATTCTGTGGAACTGGGTCATTCCAAAAAAAAAAATTGATGACAATTTTTCGGTAATTTAATTCCTGGTGATCTTATTACCACCCGGACCTTTTCCAAGAATGGTGATTGCTGTTTGACGTGTCATTGAAAGGGATCGATTTGTGTACAAGGAAAAGTGTGTTTAGGGAGGGGTGGGGAGGGGGGGGGGGGGGTCAGGGAGGATATTGGAATTAATTCTTGGTAGAAGCGATCGTTTATAAATTATGTCTTGGAATAAGCGATCGTTTATAAATTATGTTTTGGTATATGTGATAGTTTATAAATTATGTCTAGGTATAAGTGATCGTTTATACATTATGTCTTGGTATAAGTGATCGTTTATAAATTATGTCTTGGTATAAGTGATAGTTTATACATTATGTCTTGGTATAAGTGATCGTTTATAAATTATGTCTTGGTATAAATGATAGTTTATACATTATGTCTTGGTATAAGTGATAGTTTATACATAATGTCTCGGATAAGTGATAGTTTATAAATTATGTCTTGGTATAAGTGATCGTTCATAAATGGTGACCAGAAAGATTCGAAACGGAAAAAAAGCGCAATGGGAAAAAGTACAAAACAAAAAGCGCAACGGAAAAAAGCGCAAACAGAAAAAAAGCGTACACAGAAAAAAGCGCACACAGAAAAAAGCGCAAACAGAAAAAGCGCACACAGAAAAAAGCGCAAACAGAAAAAAGCGCACAAAAATGATCATGTGGTCGTAAGCTAAACCCACATAATGGACGACGTGGTCGGATTGTAGAGCATACGACTGCTCACCCGAAAATCTCGAGTTCGAATCCCAAGTTCATGACAGCTCTGATGGGTACCTGACTCCCGTTTGGGAAATTTAATGCAGAAAGGCATAGTGCTGAAAACACTATCCCTTCATATGCCGAGGTTAATGAAACAGGTAAACTCTACTTCATCTGTCACGCGTGTCGTGGGCACGAACGGGAAAAGATGATGAAGAGGTCTGCAACATATACAGAAACCCACACCACGCAACCTCCAAACAGATCGATAAACAAAAACAATCTTTGATAACTTAATTAAATAACGGTAACCAATAGTTACCTCCAACAGAGCAATAAACAAAAAAGAAATTTTTAACATTTTAATTAAATAACGGTCACCAATATTACTGCTCGCGGAGAATTTTTTAAAATAATTTTAGATGCCTACGTAAAGTTTTGGCAGGTCTTCGGAAAACTGGTCAGTAACACCACCCTATAACGTAGATAATTTAATCTGCCACCTAACATTTCGCTCTAAGTTTTAATGTGTCCTGTTGACCGTTGTCCACCATATGGTCTCTCCCCCCCCCCCCCCTAAAAAAGCCAATCTCTGCGTAGTTTGTTTTATTTGTTTGTTTGCTTTTGCTATTATGTTATTAACATTGTTATGTTGAGGCCTATATTACAGCACATAAACCCGCTATATGTGGCTTTGTAAGCCTACAACCAGTTTCTTCCAGGCATCTCTTCGCCCCCCCCCCCGAACGAAATGAAATTTATATACTTTATATAGAAAATATATACTTTTAACAGTGTCCGCCCCCCCCCCCCCCGAAGAAAGTCTACAGCCCCCCCCCCTGCCTACAACCGACAGACATTGGTAAACAAACTGAATCTAAAGGTTATACAGAATAAAAAGTGAAAATGAAACTTCTTTCTAATATGTTTCTTTCATTTTTAAAATCGTACTTTTTGTGTGTCAAGTAAGTTAGCATATTATTAGACCTATCATCAGTGGATAAGTCAAAATAATATTCATAGTAGTAGGCTACAATATTTATTTAATAACACTAATTTGTCAACAAGTAGGCCTATATAATAAGGCAGTTATAAAGTCAGAGTTCCTAGAGGCATCTCTTCGGGGGGGAGGGGGGGGGGGGAGCCCCCCGAAGAAAGTCTATTTCCCCCCCCCCCCCCCCCGAACGAAATTGAATTTAGATAGAAAATATACACGTTTACCAGTGTCCACCTCCCCCTCCGGAAAATGTATACACCACCCTTCCCCCCCCCCCCCGGAGAAAAAAGTCTGGAAGAAACACTGTATAAAGTCTAGTTTCTAGATCTATGTGTAACTAGATCTAAAGACTAAACAAAAAAATAGCCATCCAGTTGTTGAAAACGTAAATTATTTTCTTATGTTTCAAAACTAAAACCATTAAAAGTACCTAATCTTTAAAAAAAAATTCAATTAAAATGGTGTGTATATGAACTCAAATTACTATTCTCTTACAAGATCTAGACTCTAGATCTAGAGAGTGTATTAGTGTGTTTTTGTTTATCCTGTTCTTTTCTGCTTAGCATTTATAACAAGGCTTGCTTAAGCCTAGCCTTAGTTAAGACTTAACTTCCGTGCTAGTTTTGAATTCACCTAGATACTGCGCTGTTAAAAAAAACCGCTCTTGAAAGATATCGAAAGTACAGTTAAATATTTTCATTTCAAAATTATAGCCTTATTAACGAAAATTAACTACCATTTCAATTTACATTTCCTAAAATTAGACAAAGTATCTGACACAGAGAGGTCTAGATCTATAACAAAAGTGAAATCCTTCACACAGGACAACACGGCATAGCAGCACACAGCAGGCCTACGATTCTTGGAACTGCGTTCTTTCGTCAGCAGCATGGATTTCATAGAAAGCAGAATACTTAAGCCTATATTATTACTGGGTCTTGTGGGCAGGCTTTTAGTGTGTGTCGACTGTTTGATTTGAATAGGATACAATTTACTTAGTTTAGCGGTGAACCAGAGCAGTTATATTTATTGAAGCAAGGTAGAGTAATTAATAGATCTAATTACTAATTATTAAGTGAAACATTTATTTTGCCTAAGTAAATAAAATAAAAGTTTTAATTTAATAGATCGAGATTCTAGATCTAGATCTAGAAGAGAGATTTATTTGTTCAGTGACAGTATTACTAGACTAGATCTAGATCTAGATCTAGAAAAGAAATCTAGAACTATTTGTCAGTATTTGACAAGTCTAGATCTAGACTAGATGGATTCTATTTTATTTAGATCATCATAGAGATAGACCTACTATTCTAGATCTAATATTTACGAACATTTTTCATTTGTGCTGAGTAGGGTGTACTGTGTTGTTAAGTAATAAGTAAGTATAGATCTAGATCTAGATTCTAGTAGATCTAGATCTAGTAGTTGAGTACTGCAGAGTAATGTAGTAACTGTAAGACTGGTGTATTGTAACTGTAGGAATGTTGAATGTATTGAGTATTGAAAGAAAATCAGTTATATAATAATTCCAAAGCAGAGTTTCTTCCAGGCATCTCTTCGGGGGGGCGAAGCCCCCCCGAAAATTTTTTACCGCCCCCCCGAACGAAATGAAATTTATATAATTCATATAGAAAATATATACTTTTAACAGTGTCCGCCCCCCCGAAGAAAGTTTACCGCCCCCCCGAAGATTTCAAGTGCCCTCCCGGAGAAAAAAGTCTGGAAGAAACACTGTTCCAAAGGTCATCACATGTATGTCATGTTAATATTCATAACATTTAGATTTCTAGGTAGGGGCCTATAATTATTACTTTATTAAATATTTTAAAATTAGTAAATTACATATGAAATTTCTATACATCAAGCTGTCGAGCAATAATGAATATTTTATATTAGGCCCCAATGTGTCAAAATTGTATTTTCTATATTATAATGTAGGTCCGCTTAGTAAGTTTTCTATTATTAACAACCCAACCATCCCATTTTATTTATTTATATCTAGAAATCTAGATTATTTCTTATAAGTAGAGTTAATTTAGTATAGAATCTTCATGTATTATTTATCATAGTATTGGTAGGCTATAGTTTTTTAGTATAGTCTTGAAGTATACAGTAACCCCTGCTTTAGTAGATCTACACCTAGGCCCAATTAAGCATATTAAATAATATAATTGACCAGTCTTACATATAGAATAGGCCTGCATGGGTAACTCTATTTAAATATGTAACAAAATATCTATCAACCCATAAATAAATCCCTATTCAAAATTTTGTATTGATTAGTTAAGGTAAGGAGATGCTGATTAAGTAAAGAGTGTAGGCCTCTATAGTATACTATTACATTTAGCTATAGTAGTCATTTTCATTTCAACAGCAAAGTACCGTACCGTACTTATTTGGGTACCCACACATCAGTGTAAAATATAATAAAATGTACATTGAGATGTCAAAAACAAAAAAACAACAGAAAACAAAAGACAGATTGTAACCTCATATTATTTTAAGAAAGGCAGTTATAGGAATATGTTTTTATTTATATAGCCTATTTGAACAATCATTATCAAGACATTCAAGTAAATAAGTATTATATTATTACAGGCATAAGCCAATTAGTAACAATGCTGTTTCAGAATTATAATTATATATTTTCAAAAATTTATTTTTCAGGCAGACTTCAACTAAAAAAAAACTCACAGACAGGTGAACACAGATTTAGACGTAATTGACAATAATCAAAGCATACACTTTTTACTTGGTAGGTAGATCTAAGTTTACTTTGAAAAATACTTTTAGGTGTTTTCTTAAACATTTCCTTGGTTTTCACATATGATATATGAACTATTCATATTAGTTTGACTGCTGATGTAGATATTTTCATTTTATTAATTTATCCCTCTTAAAATGTGATGTTTTTAATTTTATGTAAAATTATCATGAATAAAAAAAGCCATTTTGATTTAGGCCTATATGAATTATTAAGTGTAACAATAACAGTAACTTTAAATGATTTAAAAAATTACTTTGCTTTAATTAGTTTCATGACAGAGTAGTAAAGAATAAAAAAAACCAGGTTCTCTAGTATAGAGTAATAAGAATTCTAAAAATATCCTTTAAGGCTTAATCAAAGTAAAACATGTGTGTCATGACTTTTGATTCCTGGAACACGGCATCCTGTTGCAGTCAATACAAAAATATGGAGTCACTCAGTGCTTTAGACCACATGCTGAGCCCACTCCTATTTTTTTTTTTTAATCAGGACAATGACAGTACACTCCCATTCCTAGACACTGTTGTCCTATCTGATCACCAAACTGATTCATAGACTATCCTGTATATCATGTATTTAGATCACTAGGCCCTAGGTGATACTCCTTTTAAGTTTGTTCCTCCCTCATAGAAACTGCCTAACAGAACTAAAAATAGCTTTTGGAAATATCCATAAAAGGGAGCTTATAAAATAGGTGTAATGTCTATTCTTAGCCTCTGTATATCTTTGTTTTGAACTCCAATTAAATTATAAGGCCCTTTGTAAAAATTATTTTTTAACTTAAAAATAGTAAAGCTTTTTTTTTACTTTTAACTGTTATAATTTAGTCTTATAATAAATGCATTAAAATCATGTTAATAAAAACAATTGTATAGTCTTATAGGCCTATATCTCATATATATATATATATATATATATATATATATACATTGTTTTAATAGCGTATAGATAGATATAGAGCTATAGATAAATTAATCTTAATGGATACATATACATTTTAATTATTCCTTTTATAAATTATAGGAATAAAATGTAAAAGTTAAAATTCTTTATTTACATAATAATCAACCCAACTATTTTTACAAACTCTCTAGCAGAAATCAGATGCCTCCGAGCTCATGCATCAGCAGTTCAGATGCGGATCTGACACAGCCCATGTGTAACCCACTAACCCACGACACCACATGTAATCAACAAATTCAAGCTTGCAACTCGTTTTCATCTGGACACTGGTCAAAACTCCACCGCAAAACAGAGGGGATTACAAATATCACCTCGGCACAACACCTGCCGGAAGAAATTCTCCGGCCGGCGTTGGGATTTCCTTTGGGAATACCCATGTGTAAAATCTCTGTGTACAGAGCCAAGTCAGACAGCCTCAAACAGAATGGGATGGAGTTAAATGAATGGGAAGAAGAAGATGTGAATGATTCTGGTTTCGGCTCGGGTGGATTAACATCCTACAAGCCCAGATTTGATTGCGACAATGAATTGGTGAAACTAGACCAAAACTTGCAGGAGATTTCTCAATGCCATTTCTACTATGGCTCCTGCAGCAGCCAGGAGGCTCGCAGTATTCTTAAGAAAAAATCCGTTGGAACTTTTTTACTTCGGGACAGCTCAGACTCCAGATATCTTTATTCCCTGAGCCTAAAAACTGAGCGCGGGGCTACGAGTGTGCGTATATTATACACAGACGGACTTTTTCAGTTTGATAGCGATGAGCGAATTCGACATCGACTGCCTAGGTTTGAAAGTGTGTTGGCTCTTATAGATTTTCATGTAATGATATCCCAGGATGGGAATAATAAAGCTTGGAGGTGGGAAGAGCATTCTGGGAAGAAAAACATGACAGTGAACCTAAAGGAACCACTAAAACATTGTGTTCCAACGCTGGCACATATATCACGGGTAACTATAAATAAGTGTTTAGAGGATGTATATATGCCGCAGCTATCTGTAGATAGGTTGTTAATACCTGCTGAATTAAAAAACTATCTTAAAGATTATCCTTATAGGGTATGACAAAAATAATTATTAGGTGTTTTTTTTTTCAATATAAAAAAACAAATTTCCTGTAAGGAATGTTTGGATTCACGTTTACAATGAAAAATGTTATGAGGAATTAAAATTTTAATTTATATGGGTCAATACAGACGTGTTAAGCCAATTTAACATATGTAACCCATTGCCCATCAAACTGTACTGCCTTTGAATTCTCTTTTCGCATTTTTTGCCTAGAGCTGTATTAACTTTTTTATTCAAAGCATCTGTGAGCTTGGCAAATGATGTGATGGAACTTATGATGTGTTCATTTACATAATGATAATCTAATGAAATAATAGGGACAATGTGTCTGACTCTAGTCCTTAGATAAATGTACTACCTCATAGAGTAGAAATCTAGCATACATACATGCTTATTATGATTAAAACATAAATAAGTATGTATTGTATTGTATACATGCCTAATTGTAAAAAAAAAGTATTTATAAAAATGTAATAACACTTAAAATACATACAATTTTTTAATATAAAAATAAATTATTTATGTTTATTATTTATTGTTATTGTTTAGCTTTATTTGTCTTTGCCTATTTTTTAGTATTAATATAGCTTGCTAATGTTTGGGTGGTTCAAAAATTGAGTTACTGAAAGATTGGAGGTTTATGTTCACACTTGGTCAGATTTGGTTGTCTCAAGTTCTTATCTTTGGTGGGGTAGGCATGGGTGGTGAATTTTTTTTTATGTTCTTGAGTGGGGTAGGCATGGGTGGTCAATTTTTTTTAATGTTCTTGAGTGGGGTAGGCATGGGTGGTCAATTTTTTTTAATGTTCTTGAGTGGGGTAGGCATGGGTGGTCAATTTTTTTTAATGTTCTTGAGTGGGGTAGGCATGGGTGGTCAATTTTTTTTAATGTTCTTGAGTGGGGTAGGCATGGGTGGTCAATTTTTTTTAATGTTCTTGAGTGGGGTAGGCATGGGTGGTCAATTTTTTTACTGTTCTTGAGTGGGGTAGGCATGGGTGGTCAATTTTTTTTACTGTTATTGAGTGAGGTAGGCATGGGTGGTCAATTTTTTTTACTGTTATTGAGTGAGGTAGGCATGGGCAGTTTTTAAAAAAAAAAATATTTTATTGAGTGGGGTTGGCATGGGTAGTTATTTTTTAATGTTCTTGAGTTGGGTAGGAATGGGCAGTCAGTTTTTTTTTTTTTTTAATTTTTTGAGTGTGGTAGGCATTCAAACCACATCAGCTTTTATCCTTATTTCCCAGATTTCCTAACTCAAATGTGTAGTTCAATACTTATTTAGTAAAAACACACACAAGTTTCTGTTTACAATCTTCCACAGTTTGCCTGTTTGCTGCATATTTTAATTTTACAATCAACCATAGTGTACAATGTTAAAGAAATCAAATGCATGTATAGCGGTTTCAAACAATGAAGTCTTTCAAGATGCGGCTGATTGTAAAACTCCTTTGTGACTTAAATAGCAGTGAATGGGGTTCAGATTACAGTAAATATGTAAATATGGGTGGTGTGTGGTGTAACCTACCAGAACAGGGCTATATCAAAACGGGGGTCAATGGTTTATGATTTAACTAACTGAAGATAATGGAACTATGTAATGTAATATTCTATTACAGGGCTGTACAGAAAAGGGGTGAATTGTTTGTTTTTTATTAACTGAAAATAACACAAAATTTTACTCTCATCCAGGTTTTTTTTTTTAATTTTAAAAATCTTCCTACCACTTACATCCAATCCATAATTTAACACTTTAATGCTGTTGCTATTTTTAGCATAATACTACAGTACAAAATGAGGAGTGACTGCAGGGTAAATTTTAATTTATTGGAACAAAAAGTGGTTGATGCTGGTGCTATTTTTTTGTACTTGTTCATTGATGTTTTTTGCATGTACAAACTAAATTAAATTTATTTGATGATGTGTTATGTGTTGTCCTGTTTATGGTAGCATGTTGCCTATTTAAAAAAAAATATTTTCCACTTTTTTCTAAAGGTGAAAAATTAACATTCTTTTCGGATGTTATTTAGTTTGCACTTTTTCACAGGATTAGGTTCCAATAATATTTTGTAAAATATAATTCATTGAGCTATATCCCCCTAAAGTAGTTTTGAATTTATAAAATGGCGCCTTTTCAAAAAGACCGTATGGTAATACATCATAAAATTCACTGGGCTTATACATACATAGCTTATAGACATATGCTCTGTTGGTTAAATACAATTATTGTGACGGCAGGCTATCCACGATATACTTAGGGGTAATCTAAGGAACTAAGCCGATTTTCAAGCCCACCCCCTTCCAGTGTTCGTTTCCCCCCCCCCCCCCCCCTGGTAGAGATCAGTGGCGTAGCAAGGTAGGGTGTCACCCGGTGCGGCACTTAATGGTGTCACCCCCCCCCCTCCAGAGGCGTTGCGACCCTTCCCGGGGACAAACTTTCAAGTTTTCGATTTGCCCCCCCCTCTCAAGTTTTCGTTTTGCACCCCCCCCTCCTCAAACTTTCGATTTGTACCCCCCCCCCTCAAGTTTTTCACTATATATTTTGCTATTTTTTGCCTTGGTGTCACCCCCCTAAATGGTGTCACCCGGTGCGGTCCGCACCCCCCGCCCCCCCCCCTCGCTACGCCCCTGGTAGAGATGCCTGGTAGAAACTCTGACCCCTTCACACACCTTCACAGAGTGCCAGACCAGACAGTTTAAGTAACTTATGAAATCATGGTCTACCCCCCCCCCCCTCTATCCGAATAACTAAAACTGATTAGAATAACTTTGTTTCATGAACCAAAATACCTGTACGATGGCATGCTCTCTTAACCACCCCCCTTCTCCCCGTCACACATTGTTACGTAAATCGGAACCCACCTTCTTCGGGAGTGTGACGTAGAGGCGTAGCGACACGTTCTGGCGCCCAGGGTGTACAATCAATTACCCCCCCCCCTTTTTTTTAGTAGTCCAACATTTCATGCACAATTTTTTTTTTAATAGTCCGTAAAGTCAAGTAGCATTTGTGGGCCATTCAGTTACGCAGCTTAGATTAGAACGAGCTTCATATACATATATTTTTCAATTCCTTTTGGCGCCCTTCTAGGGTCGGCGGCAGAGTTTCTTCCAGGCATCTCAAATTTTTTACCGCCCCCCCGAACGAAATGAAATTTATATAATTTATATAGAAAATATATACTTTTAACAGTGTCCGCCCCCCCCCCGAAGAAAGTTTACCGCCCCCCCCCCCCCCCCCCCCCCGAAGATTTCAAGTGCCCCCCCCCGGAGAAAAAAGTCTGGAAGAAACACTGGTCGGCGGCCGCCCCACCCACCCACCCTCCCCTCGCTACGCCTCTGGTATGACGATCTGCACGGCCACCCCCCCCCCTCAACCCCTTTTAAGATAACAGTTTAGCCGTAAACCAGGAAACGAGTAATGTTCCTTGTTTTTTAATCTGACGTCATTGTATTTCTTCTTGGTAAAGAAGAAAGAAAGAAACATCGCGATTCGGTGAAAGTGAGTGGGCTGATTAGGCCGAGGCGTTTCTCCGAAACTAATGCCACTTGTGTTTCGATTTCAGAGTATCGGCGAATGATTTGACTATCGTGCTCAATGCTAGGGAATTTTTTATTTATTTATTTTTTAAAGAAAAGGATGCCGAAAATAGAAACTAAAAATCTTTATTAATTTTTTTAAAAAGATTTTAGAAGTGATTCATTAATTAACATTAGGGTAGACGGAAGTTTAATTTAATTGACTTCTTAAAATAGCGCCCATTTGGGATTTTCATTCTTATTTACCGATTTTGATTTTCCATTTTAATCGACCTCCACATTAGTAGGCCCTAATTCCCCCTTAAAATAATGTAATTGGCGAAGTAAACCTTATCTTTAAAAGGTAATAAACCTTATGATTTAAATGTTAAAATGTAAACAACCTTATGTTTAAAAAAAAACATGTGATGCATGATACAAATGACGCTAGTTCGGGATATGTGTGGTGTTCGTGAGTAGAGATTAAGGGGGAACGAGGTGGTATTTTAAACTGACGTCATAAGGTTAGACATCATATTTTGTTATACAATTGAAGATTGTTGTGGGGGAGGGGGGGGGGGGGGTAAATTAAAAAGTTGAGTTGCAATGTCAGGAAGTTAAACCCAGCTAAGTAGTAAGGACAAGTGCAATCTGTTGAGTTTAGATCAGGAAGTAAATGTTGCACTGACAGTTGTTAAAAGGCCTACTTATTAAGACACGACCATGTATGGGATCAAAGGCTGACAAAGGGCCACGGCTACATATCCATAAGTGTATCCGTCAGTAAGATACAAATATAGACTCTGTCTAGGATCAAAGGGTGACATAGGACCACGGACACATATCCATAAGTGTATCCGTCAGTAAGATACACATATAGACTGTGTCTAGGATCAAAGGGTGACATAGGACCACGGACACATATCCATAAGTGTATCCGTCAGTAAGATACACATATAGACTGTGTCTAGGATCAAAGGGTGACATAGGACCACGGCTACATATCCATAAGTGTATCCGTCAGTAAGATACAAATATAGACTCTGTCTAGGATCAAAGGGTGACATAGGACCACGGACACATATCCATAAGTGTATCCGTCAGTAAGATACAAATATAGACTGTGTCTAGGAGCAAAGGCTGACATGTGTCAACTGTGACATAGGGCCACGGCTACATATCCATAAGTGTATCCGTCAGTAAGATACAAATATAGACTCTGTCTAGGATCAAAGGGTGACATAGGACCACGGACACATATCCATAAGTGTATCCGTCAGTAAGATACAAATATAGACTGTGTCTAGGATCAATGGGTGACATAGGACCACGGACACATATCCATAAGTGTATCCGTCAGTAAGATACACATATAGACTGTGTACATGATCAAAGGCTGACATTTGTCAACTCTGACGTTCTTGCCGGGTGTGTATCATAGGACCAGTAGCGTAGCGAGGGGGTGGGGACATATGTCCTCGGGCGCCGACCTTAGGGGGCGCCAAAATTGGTTGGAAAAATAAATTGAAAGGTTGCGGGGGGTGCAAATCGAAAGTTTGAGGGGGTGCAAATCGAAATCTTGGGTGGGGGGGGGGTGCAAATCGAAAGTTTGAGGGGGTGCAAATCGAAATCTTGGGTGGGGGGGGGTGCAAATCGAAATCTTGAGGGGAAGTTTGTCCCCGGGCGCCGGGAAGGATCGCTACGCCTTTGCATAGGACCACGGCTACATATCCAGTAAGTGTATCCGCCATTAAGATACAAATATAGACTGTACAGGAAAATGTGATCACAAGTGTGAAAGCGTCATCATTGACGTGTTTATCACAAGGCCATGAATGCCATGATCGCCCGACTACTTGTAATGTTACAGATAGTTTCAAACGACAGTCTAATTTTGGCTTGTTATGTTGTTGTTGTTGTTTTTTAAAGTTATTTAAATATAAACATATTACTTCTTCTTCTTCATTCTTAATTTTAGTGTTGGAAAAGATTCCCTCCAACACAATTAAGTACACGTGTCAACTGTTTATGCGCCATTGAGGTCATTGACTCCGATTTCAGCCTGCTTTTCTTTTTGGATTTGCTTTTATAGCCTTTGTTCAACCAAGAACAAACCACAAGGCAGCAGTTGTTTGATTTTGGAGTTGTCTCTCATAAAATAGTGTCTATCCTCAGCTAACGAGCCTCATCTGCCCGAGGGTTCGAACTCGAGACTTTTACCGATTCCATCACGCCGACCCCTAACATATTACTATTTGTGATATAATCTGCAGATGGGTGGATAAGGGTGTGGCCTGTGTGACTTTGATGCCACCCCCCCCCACACACACACACACCCACATCCACATCCGGAATCCGGTTTTTGAAAATTGCACATCTGTTTCCTGTTTAGAGGGCAGTAAGTTTCTTTACAACAAGGAACGATAACTACAAACTGACGTTTTGATCGGACGTGCGAACTACATCACTTGTCCACTACCATGTTACTTGTTACGGTATAGGCCTCTCTTAAATGCCGGTAGTTGATTATCTCCCCATTAGCCGTACGTTCGTAAAGTCTTAACTGCTAAATTTTTTTTAAACACAGTTGCATTACTTTAATTTAGATAAATTAAAACTATGTACACGACTTAACATGATAACATAATTTTAAAAATCCTTAACTTATAAAGGAAAAATGTTTTAATTTCACTGACTTTCCTTGATATTTAACTTCCGCAACAGATGTAATTTGTCATTTTATTTTTTTAAAACAAAATCCTATTTTTTCCCCTTGAGAAACCATTTTCACTGAAAATTTTGATTGAGGAAAAAGCAGTAATGTTTCCTTGAAATTTCTCATCTTCACCTGAAAAAGAAACTTTTGAAAATACTTCCGGTTTCTTTCGGAAACATGGCTCTTCTTCCTGTTTCCAGTTGGCCTACTTCTTCCTAGCATTACATGGTGAAACGTACGTTTTATAATCCTATTTTTGTACCAGCTATTTTTTTTTTATATTTATATCTCTCTGCTACATAATGTGAAATAACTTTTAATTCTCTTCAATAAATATAACCGAAACCTGCTAAAGAGTAATCGATTTATAAAAAATAATCAATATGTCTGACAGCTATTTCATGCAAATGAATTCTTAGAAGGAAGTTGAGGCTTTCATTGAAGTTTCATTCATTGAATGTTAGACGCGGGCGTCATGGGAAAAATAATTAAAATATAGAAGGAGATAGCAACGTTTGTTCAGTAGTGTGCAAATTCAGTTGGTCCTTACGTTTACATTAGGGAAAATCATCCTTGAAATATAGCCTAAATCAGTGATTTTTAACCTGTGTCTGATCGAACCCCAGGGGTTCGGTGAGTCAGTCTCAGGGGTTCGGCGGAGGTCAAGACACACACCCGACTCATATGATTCACGATCGGACGATAGAACTATAAAGAGGGTTCGGTGAATGCGCATATGAATATGATTGAAACTAGTGGGGGTTCGGTACCTCCAAAAAGGATAAGAACAGTGCTTCTTCCAGACTTTTTTTCTCCGGGGGGGGCGGGGGGGGGGGGGGGCGGGGGAGTTCAACATTTTTCGGGGGGGGGGGGGGGCGGACACTAGTAAAAGTGTATGTTTGCTATATATAATCCATCTCGTTCGGGGGGGGGGGGGGCGGACACTAGTAAAAGTGTATGTTTGCTATATATAATCCATCTCGTTCGGGGGGGGGGGCGGTAGACTTTCATCGGGGGGGGGGGAGTGTGCCAACCTAGTGTCGTCACTAAGTTACATTATAGTTGGTGGTAAATGAATTTTAACAATTGTCTATACATCCATAAATTGTGTAATTTTAGTGTTTTTTTTTTCATTTAAATGTAAAAGCTCTTAAGGATTATTCCAATTAAATCATGATTTGAACTGACTTTTGTTTAAAATTAGTTTTGTATTTAAAAAAACGGCAATTATTTAACAGCTAGCCCAAGTCCGGGGTTAAAATCCAACATCACAGAACCTAAGGGATGGCTTACACTCACTGTGTTTTCTTGCTAGCCTGATGACTACTGTTTTGTTTTGTTTTTATATGCATGGGCGGCCGCAGCATTCCTTTAGAAGGGGCAGTAACCCTGCTGGTAAAGTGTCCCGCTTGTTTGAGAGGAATTTTTATGTTATGAGAACAGACTATAGGTTATACTTATTTGGATAATATAGTGTTAATTTATGAGTTTATTAATTTTGAATTTGAATGGTGTTTGATAATGCGTAAGCTTTTTATTTTAGTGTAATACTGTCAGCCAAGAAGAGGACTTCCCGTTACCATTGGAAGTCTAAAGTGAAACAATGTTCTTAAGAATCTTCTAAATCTGTAAATCAATAGGTTGGATTTCTAGACTACAATTATTTTTTTTCATAATTTATATGGGATTTACTCATTGTCCTGATATCTGTCCAGAAGAAATGGAGAAGCTGGGAAAAATTGTCAAAACATTTGATGAAAATCCAGATTTGCCTGATCTGCAGCCAATGTTCATCACTCTAGATCCAGAGCGAGATTCACCTTCTGTTATCAAAGATTACTTGAAAGATTTTGCATCACCTCGAATAATTGGGTTTACTGGAACTGAAGATGAAATTAGGGAGATTGCTAAGAAATTTCGAGCTTACTTTGGCAAGGGACCCAAAGACTCAGACAATGACTATATAGTGGATCATACAATAATCACTTACCTGATCAACCCTAAAGGAGAGTTCGTCAACTACTTTGATAGAAGTGTGAAGGCTGAGAATATCATTAAAACTGTGACAGAACATATAAAGAAATATAATGAATTAGAGAAGAGAAATCTACTTTAGTGTCAAACCATATTTCAAATGCTATTTATGAATGAATCAACACCTTTAAATACATTCTTAATCTTGGAGGTTTTTTTTTAAATGAGCATCTATTGTGAAATGAATGTGTTAAAATGTTAACTGTATGTAAAAAAATTATTCACTGTATAGCAGAGGCTTTTATTAGTTAAATGTAGTATTTGAAGGAGTGTATTTAAATTGTAATTAAAGACAGATTATTACTTTAAAAAAAAAAAAAAAAAAAAAAAAACAATTTTTTTTTCCGACACCGAATAATCTTAACGACATTAAGCTGACTCCCACCCCCACAACCCCCATATCCCCACCTTGTTTCGCATCCTTTAATATTTGCCATTCAGTTTCCTATTGTTGCTTATTTGTGTATTGTTTTATCTATTGTTTTATCTATACCACTGTCAAACAAACATTATTAAGTCATCATTTGTCTCTATTTTACTATTATCATATACGTACGGTACTTTGGTCCACAACGTACAAAATGACCCCAATGACCCCCTACTCCTTTTGTATTTATTTTATTATCCCCACATTATTACTTTCAGTTGTTTTGTTAACTCAAATAACTCTTTTATCAGAACACTGTTAATCAATTTTGACCTTAAAATCTCCACTGTATCCCCACACCCCGCGATGGATACACGCCTACCCACCCCCTAACCTGCCCGTACTAAACATTCAAATAAACATAAACACCGACTTGAACATACCAACCTTTCACCCTCCCGCTAAAAACATCCACCCCTCCCCCTCTGCCCACTTCACCCTCAGACATGATAACCCCACATCCCCTTTAACTGTTCCAACGACCCCACCCAGTAGCGTAGCGAGGGGGGGGGGGCGGGGGGGACATATGTCCCCGGGCGCCGACCTTAGGGGGGGGGGGCGCCAAATCGAAAGTTTGAGGGGGGGGGTGCAAATGAAAAGTTCGAGGGGGGGGGGGGTGTAAAATCGAAAATTTGCTCCCAAGGGGGCGCCAAATTGAAAGTATGTCCCCGGGCGCCGGGAAGGGTCGCTACGCCTCTGACCCCACCACCCACCAAAAACATCAGTTTCGAATATTTATTTATTTTTATTTACTTACTTATTTATTTTTGTAATTCACTATTGTACTAATGTAAATAAAACTGTGGTAGAACAACAAATTTGTGTGTGTGTATGTGTGTGACTACTCTACTGGTTATTCATTTTTCTTTGGTATTTACTATGTTTATTGTACAGAATGAGATGAAATTCATGTAAACCAGTTTTGTTTTCGACTATTCTTCCATATGTTGGCAAACATGCTACAAACCAGCAGAGGCGTAGCGATCCTTCCCGGCGCCCGAGGACAAACTTTTCGATTTGAACCCCACCTCAACATTTCGATTAGCACCCGCCCCTTAAATTTCCGATGTGCACCCCCCCCCCCCTCAACCTTTCAATTTATTTTTCCAACCCATTTTGGCGCCCCATAAGGTCGGCGCCCGAGGACATATGTCCCCCCCCGCCCCCCCCCCCCCCTCGCTACGCTACTGCAAACCAGCCTCTTCAATTTTTGAACCAACAAGCTTTAAATTCAATGTATCTTTTGTATTCATTTACATATGTCGCTATTTATTTACTATACTCTGTACACCAATGTAACTATCTTGTAAATATCCACCCAAACGGCGTGGAATGTTACTGTATTTGTTTTAAATTGGAAAATAAAAATATTTAAAAAAAAAGAATTAAAAAAAAAAGAAACCAATAATCTTAACGATGTATGTGTTTTAAATTGGAAAATAAAAGTATTTAAAAAAAAAAATCTTAACGATAGGTTTCTAGAAATAGAAGTAACACCTTAAACAATCTAACTGTATTGGCTACCTACTAGCTCGGCCGTTCTGTGAATGATTTCAGTTTCGCTTTCATACTTCTGACACGGGGTGGCCGGTACACGTACAGAGTCTAAGATTAAAGGGGCGTGGCTTGCTGGCAGGTTTCATGACGTCACCGTTTCCAGGAATACCACCAGCCGACGTTTTTAATATTCGGGCGTAAAAAATAAATAAGTAGACCAGCACTCTAATAAACTATCGGGTTCAAAATAACGGGCATGTGTTTATGTGTGTGCGTGTGTGTGTAAGGGAGGGGGGATTATGGAGATAGAAATTACTAATACTGGAAATCGCTCAAATAATCAATTCATTGATTTATAAAGCTGTTTCGATAATGATGTTTATAAAGTAAAAAATAAAAATTGGGGAGTGACTGTCGTAAAAGGTCTAAACAGTACTGAGACTCATGTATATATATATATATATATATATATATATATATATATATATATATATATATATATATATATATATATATATATATATATATATATATATATATATATATATATATATATATATATATATATATATATATATATGGTGCCAGGCTATCATTGTGCGACAGGCCATTTTGCTGTCGAATGTTTCAACTCCAACTAAAAGATCGTTTATGCATGAAAAACACGAAATAATTGGCACTGCGAACAACTCATTTACAATACATATTAAAGAATGGGACTACTGGAAGTAGGGCCTACGTTTTGAGCAACATTGTCTCTTAGGGGAAAAATGTAGTGTGCAACGTGTATTTTGTGTGCGCGGTGTTTTAAAGTCTTATACAAGGATATACGTATTTTACAAAATAACTTCGCGGCAGGTTCAAACTACTGCTTAGAGGGAACATTGGTTTTGAGAGATGTAGGCTACTGTATAGTATAGTGTGGATACCTAAAATAAAAATTAAAAAATTCTTTAAGAATAATGTTAGGTAATTTTTTCGTATAGTTGAGACTATGATTTAGGCTTAGGGCTAGGTTTAGGGTCAAAATATCTCTCTTCACACTGCTAGCTATAACACGATGGTGAATGAGTTAATATGGGGAACTAGCGAACATGCTCGCAATATTGAAATGACTTCGATTAACCAAAGAAAAAAAAAGCTGCATTTTTCGTCCCTATTTTTATTAGCTGCCTTAAACACACGGCGTTTTAATTTAGCCCCTGACCTTTTCGGCGGGTTTAAATGAGTTAATGACATATTTAAAACTCGATCATTTCACGCAAATAAAATGCGTTTGAGCGAATTTCTGTGTGGCTTTTTGTCTCATAGATGGATATACTTAGCCATGAAATAGATTCAATGACTAATAAACCGGGAGTGATCTCCCCTAAACTTTCTCGAATATTCTTATATAAAACAACAGGGGATGGGAACTCGGGCTATTGACATGATTTTTAATCCATTTTAAATACTTAAAGTTTTAAAAATAGAATAAAATCTCGTAGACAAAATAATTGCACACCAAGTGAACTAGTGAACGCCAAATAAAAAAGTGCACAATAGCGCGCAATATTATTAGTACTTTAAAAATTTACATTAGTTTTTTGAGAAATCGGAAGTAGCGTAAATTACTACTTCCGGTCAACGGAAATTACTCAAAATTTAACAGAAGGTAGAGAATTAGATCTTTTACTTACATGTGAAATTTCATTTATCTATCTGAAATAGTACTCAAGTTATAGGCTTTTGAAAAATTCAAAGTAGGAAAAGTACCACTTCCGGTTATCGGAAATCGCTCAAAAGTTGATACGGATCTACGATTTTGATAAAATACTTATATATGAAATTTCATCAACCTAGCTATAACGGTACTCAAGTAATCGTGTTTACACACGGACACACACACACACAGACACACAGACATACGGACAGAATTGCAAAGCCCAGTTTTTCAGACTGGATTACGCATAAAACCTCTTAATTTTGATAAATCTGGATTGATAATTTTTGCCCGATTAAAATAAGTCCTCTATACTTCGGATGTGATGAAGGACTGAGGTGTAATACGGTGAAAATTGTTAAAATTTCAAGTGATTTTTGTGCACGATTACAATACTTTCTCTATACTTCGTATATACGAGAAAGTAAAAAAGGAAATGTTTTAAGTAAAAATTAAGTGAGACATTTTACTCACGCTTACACGCACGCAAGCGAACACACCTTCACACACATATATAGGGGGGGGGGGGGCAAAAATGTTTTTCGGGGGGGGGGGGGTCTAGTTTCGCCACTTCCCAAGCATGTTTTGTGTGTGATTTTTTCTTCTTTAGCATCTTAAGTGTGTATGTGCGTGTGTGTGTTTAGCAACGTTGACATTTATTCACTCGGTTAACCTTCAGCGTATTTGCATCACAGCTCAGCAAATACTTGTGTTTTTTTTTTTTCTTTAGCATCTTAAGTGTGTGTGCGTGTGTGTGTTTAGCAACGTTGACATTTATTCACTCTGTTAACCTTCAGCGAATTTGTATCACAGCTCAGCAAATACTTGTGTTTTTTTTTCTCACATGCGAGTGAACCCCAGCTGACGAATCTTTCTTTTTTAAAGCTGCTTGAAATCCCATAACCCTATTTGGTCTACGCTATTCTACATCTACCAATACTAACCCTCTTTAGTCTACACTATTCTACATCTACCAACACTAACCCTATTTGGTCTACACTATTCTACATCTACCAACACTAACCCTCTTTAGTCTACACTATTCTACATATTCTACCAACACTAACCCTCTTTAGTCTACACTTCTACATCTACCAAAACTAACCCTCTTTAGTCTACACTTCTACATCTACCAACACTAACCCTCTTTAGTCTACACTACTCTACATCTACCAATACTAACGCTCTTTAGTCTACACTACTCTACATCTACCAATACTAACGCTCTTTAATCTACACTATTCTAAATCTACCAATACTAACGCTCTTTAGTCTACGCTTCTACATCTACCTATACTAACCCTCTTAGTCTACACTATTCTACGTCTACCAATACTAACCCTCTTTAGTCTACGCTTCTACATCTACCAATACTAACTCTCTTTAGTCTACACGATTCTACATCTACCAATACTAACGCTCTTTAATCTACACTATTCTAAATCTACCAATACTAACGCTCTTTAGTCTACGCTTCTACATCTACCTATACTAACCCTCTTTAGTCTACACTATTCTACGTCTACCAACACTAACTCTCTTTAGTCTACACTATTCTACGTCTACCAATACTAACGCTCTTTAGTCTACACTATTCTACATATTCTACCAATACTAACCCTCTTTGGTCTACACTATTCTACATCTACCAACACTAACCCTCTTTAGTCTACAC